TGTCCCAAAAGAGCGGTCAGGTCCAGAGTGTGACATGCTCAAGGTCATTTAGCGGGTGTAACGGAGAAGACACACAGGGACGAGGATCTTCTGAGCCCAGAGCCAGAGGAGGCACGTGTTCCTGGTCCTCAGCCAGGCTCAGCGCTGGGCAGGGTGTCTTCTGGGCGGAGGGCTGGGGCCCATCGTGAGACCAGGGGCTGCCAGGCTGCTGGGACACCCTCGCTCTCTGACCCAGCCAGAGTTGTCATGGAGCAGAGTTGTCAGGCTGCAAAGTGGACAGGCATGTGGCAGTGTGGACAGCACAGGAAGCTCAGAAGAGCCAGAGGAAAGCAATGAAAGCCTTAGAAAAAAGGGCAGGAGAGGAAACGATAAAAGGCAGTGGAAGAGCAGTGGGCAGGACACCGGGACAGGGAGGGTGTGGTCCAGCCCCAGCTCTGCCTCTGACGGGCTGTGTGACAGGAAGAAGTTCACTTCTCTCTGGGCTTCACTTTCTCCATCTATAAAACGGGGGGATAGGGACTACCCTGGCGGTCCAGTGGCTAAGACTGCACGCTTCCAATGCAGAGGGCACAGGTTCGATCCCTGGTCGGGGAACTAAGATCCCACGTGCCACGCAATGCAGCCAAAAAAAAAAAAGAGAGGGGATAGGAAAATTGGAGGGTCCATTCCTGGTCTAACACTTGCGTTTCCTCTACACCAGCATTTGGAAGAATGGGACAGATCCCCAAGACCACCCACTGTCTAGCACGAGCGATAACAAGCAAGAATATATCAGGCGAAGGGAAGCAGCAGGGTGGCTTCCTACAGGGCTTGGGTGCAGAAAAGTACTTCTGCTAAACATGAATTTGAAAAAGACACTCCTGGAGTTTCTGCTGTAGATCAATTCACAGTCCTGGGCTTGAAAGAAATGCTAAGGTGATTGAGAGTTTGGCCTTCGTGAGCTCCTTCTCTGGGGATGCCAAGGAAGGTGGGTGGAGCTGGGTCCTTGACTGAGGCTTCCTCCCACCTGGGCCCAGGGTAGAAGGTGAACGCACAAGGTGATCTGTCTCATGTGTCTCTCTGTCCCACGGGACCCCCAATTCTGAGCCCAACTGGGCAGCTCTTTAATCATCACTTATTACGGCAGATTGTCCAAGGTCAGAGTCGAACGTGGTTTCTTTCCAGGCAGCCCATTTCCCAGCTGCATTTGTTGATGAACCCATCAATTGCTTGTTGGTTGTCCACGTGTCCTTTAGTTCTTCACATACCAGGATGTACTCCATGCCTCGTCTGTTACACTGATCCTGCTGACAGTTACGGCCTTGCCCACCACGTTGCTTTGATTATTATAACGATATAGGAGAACAAGGCCCTCTAGCTCTTTGTACCCCTTCCCACTGCCATGCTCCCCACCAGGTGCTTGCTCCCTTCTTTTCCCCAAGTGAGAACATCTTAGGCTAAACTCCAGACCCTTCTCTTGTATGGAGAGGTCCCTCTGGGGCATGCCTAGAATTCTTGTCTCACAACCCTCCACATACCAACACCTACCTGGGTTTTCAACTTAGCCTAACACACCCTGAGTGGCTGGATCTACTCAGTACTGGGCGCTGGAAACCCAGAGATGGGAAAGAACCAGGCCTGGGGCTTCCCTGGTGGCACAGTGGTTGAGAGTCCGCCTGCCGATGCAGGGGACACGGGTTTGTGCCCTGGTCCGGGAAGATCCCACATAACGTGGAGGGGCTGGGCCCCATGTCTGCTGAGCCTGCGCGTCCAGAGCCTGTGCTCCGCAACGGGAGAGGCCACAACAGTGAGA